ACACACACACACACACACGCACGCACACACACACGCACACACACACACGCACACACACACGCACGCACACACACACGCACACACACACACACACACACACACACACACACACACGCACACACACACACACACACACACACACACACACACACGCACACACACACACGCACAGAGGACCGTCACCGTACCGATGGCCTGGTCGTTCTTGATGTCCTGGCGGGTGGGCTTGTGCCCGTGTTTGGCCTTGAAGCGGTGCTCCCACTTCTTGAGCTCCTTCTTGAGGCGCACAATGTACTCATCTCGGCTCTCACCACCGCCATTTCCCGGCATGGCCGGTGCCACAATGTTGCTGGCCACGTTGGACTCCTCGCCCATGAACAGGGACGACGACGATGACGACCTTGCCAGCGCCTCTGCCGCCGTGTCTCTCGGTGCGACCGCAGCCGCCAGCCCCATCATCCTTGCTTGCTTGCGTCGAGGGAGACTCCCCGCACTTTCTCCGACGAGCAAACCCAAGCAAAGAAGAACAGAACAAAGAAGACAGCCAGTCGGAACAGCCAGCGGACAGTAGAGAGGAGAGCAGGAGGAGAGCAGAGGATGTGCAAACAAACAGAGAGAGAGAGAGAGGACACACAGAGAAGAGAGAAGAAGCACAGAACAGAAGCGCGCGCTTTTTGGACGGTTGGCGGCAAACTTGAAAAATGGCACCATAAAAAATTGTAACTCAGATTCCATGCAGTTATAAGGCAAATCCGAAACTACAGCCGCACACACGTCCTTCCTGTTGTTGCTTGCGCCACCACCCTTCTTTACACAAGTCACCCGCAACACCAGACCACTGGACCCTCTTTGTCACAGCACCAGCCAGTGCAGCCAGCTTGGTTCCGCTTCCTTGAACGGACCAGTGTCGCAGGGTCTTGATGTTTAAGCCACCTTGTCTGCAAGGGAAAAAAATACAAGCAGTGGGGACAGTGCACCGCCATGTCGACGGAATCGCCACTGCGGCACTTTAGGGTGCTGGAGAAGATACGGCGCAAGTCCGGCATTGCGGATGTGCTGCCGCTGGAGCCGCCCAAGAAGATGAAGAAGGACATTCACATGTTCGAGATGCCGGCGCACGCTGCTCGAGAGTCCATGCTTTCCTCCGGCAGTGGCTTCAACAACTACCGTGGTCTCTACAACCTCGCCATCATCGCCCTGGTACGAGACGGGCAAGGTGTCTGGGGAGTGTGTGTGTGTTGGTGTGTGTGTGTGTGTGTGTTGGTGTGTGAGAGTGTGGGTTGGGGTGTGTGGTGGGGTGTGTGGTGGTGTGTGTGTGTTGGTGTGTGAGGTGGTGTGTGTGCGCTGTGTGTGTGAGGTGGTGTGTGTGTGAGTGTGTTGGTATGTGTGCGTTATGTGTGTGTGTGTGTGTTGTTTTCCTTTTGTGAGCGTGTGCGTTTCGCTCTTCTCATCTCTCCTCATATCTGCATATCACATGCACGACTTGCATCGCATGATCTCTGCAGCTGGCGTTCGGTGTGCGTCTCGTCCTCGAAAACATTCGAAAGTCAGCAAGCTGCACATCACACTACTCCCTTCCAACACAACCACACATACACATGCAGTTGCTCTTTCATCCGCGTGAGCTCACCCCAACCCCCACCTGACCTGCTACCTGTACTCACTCTGCGTCAGGTATGGTCTGCTGATTCGACCCGCGACGGCCGTGGACGTGTTCATGACGCCTGAAGCGCTCTGGGGGTTCTTCCTGATCCTCAGCCTCAACGTCTACATCCTCACAGCGCTATTTGTCGAGAAGGTGCGCATGTGGTGGCAGACAACCCAGTTTACACGCGGACTGCAAAGTGTGCTGCTGGGTTTGCATGAAGAATTGCCGTCATGTTGGTCTTTGACAGTCCAGTCCTGGTGGTCTATGCTGCTCATGTCGTCACTGACGAAAGCTGATTGTACTTGACACAGGCTGCAGCAAGGGAGACCATTGGTCCGCGCGTGGCCAGGCTGTAAGTACTCTGTGCCTGGGCATCGTGTCACTGCTGAATATCGTTTGCTGCTGCGTGCAATGTTCGCTGCGATGAATGAGGTGCATGACATGCGAAGGCGCACATCCCTTCACTGCAACACACACACATACACACACGCACACACACTCTCACTCACACTATCACTCACACACACTCGCACATACACACACACACACTCACACACGCACATGTTTGCAGGCTGCACTGGACGAATGTGATTGCGTGCATGGCTGTGGCGAATTCGCTGATCCTTGTGATCCACCCGCCCCCGCTGGTGTCGTTCTTCGCGCTGTTTGAGACGGCCATCGTGTGGATGAAGCTCATCTCGTACGTCGCCGTCAACCAGGTTGGCTCGGAGAGATGGAGCAGCGTATGTGTGTGTGTGTGTGTGTGTGTGTGTGTGTCTGTCTGTCTGTTGTGATCCACAACGTCTTTCTCACTTTCACAAACACCACCCTCGTCTTCACACACACACACACACACACACACACACACACACACACACACACACACACACACACACACACACACACACACACACACACATCCTCCATTGTGCCAGCACTACCGCGAGAAGATGCAACTGGAGAACGCCAACAAGCACTCGCGTCGCGGTAGCTTCTCCAACAAAACTGCTGACGTCCGCACTCTTCGACGCCGGCAGACGTCTGCGAAGAAGGAGGGCGGGGTTGATGGGGCTGCGAACGGTAACGGTGATGCACACCAACACCAGAAGCAGCAGCAGCAGCATGAGCACAGCCACAGACATGATCATGAAGGAGGCAGGAACGGGAAGCACTCACGTCAAGGCAGCACTGGCAAACACAAGCGGGGCGGGAGTGATGGCGCATCGGCAGCCATCGCCAAGGAGCATGGTGGTGGTGGTGGTGATGGTCATCAACATCACAAGCAGAAGCAGGAGAAGCCACGCCCACTTGTGTATCCGGAGAACTTGTCCACCAAGAACATCTACATGTACATGCTCTTCCCCACCCTCTGCTACGAAATTGAGTTTCCAAGGTCAGCCACACGTGTTGTGTGTGTGTATGTGTGCGTGTGTTTATGTGTGTGTGTGTTTGTGCATGTGTGTGTGTGTGTGTTTGTGCATGTGCATGTGTGTGTGTGCGTGTGTGCGTGTGCGTGTGTGTGTATGTGTGTGTATGTGTGTGCATGTGCGTATGCTTCATTTGTTGCCGTTTGTTTTCGGCTGTAGTGTGTGTTCACTCACGCTTCCCACCACCACCATCGCGTTCGCCACCACGAACGACCAGGACGCCGCGTGTGCGTGTGCGGTTCCTGATCCGACGCATCATCGAGGTCGTCTTCCTCTTCGCCGTCATTGTCACGCTCGCCCAGCAGTGGGTCATGCCAACCGTCGAGAACACGTTCAAGGTCCGCACACGCGAGGGCGGGGTGGTGCTGTGTATGTGTGTGTGTGTGTATGTGTGTGTGTATGTGTGTGTATGTGTGTGTGTATGTGTGTGTGTCTGTCTGTCTGTCTGCCTGCGTCAATGTGAGTGCTGTGGTGTTAAGCAGCTTTCCCATTACCCAGCTCACCACCCCACCTCGCCGTCCACTTGTCCACTTGCTCCTCCAACACAGGACGGCGCTGACCCGTCCCTGTATCATCTCATCGACCGCACACTCAAGCTCTCTGTCCCAAACAACATCATCTGTACGTCCCCTCATGCTAGTAGTGGTTTGTGCTTGTGTGTGTGTGTGTGTGTGTGCGACGTGTGCGATGTGTGAGACGCCGCGCACTTAATGTGCTGGCATCCAATCACATGTCTACAATTCACAATGTCCCAAACCTTTCTCTTCATTACATTCGCGTTTGGAAACATTTCATGACAGGGCTGTGCATGTTTTACTTCTACTTCCACTCGTTCCTGAATGCAATCGGAGAACTCCTCCGTTTCGCCGACCGCCAGTTTTACCGCGACTGGTGTGTATATATATATGTGTGTGTGTGTGTGTGTGTGTGTGTGTGTGTGTGTGTGTGTGTGTGTGTGTGTGTGTGTGTGGATGCTTACGTGCCTGCTTTTCAATGCTCCAGTCGTCTGGTCATCCGTAAAGCATGTGCATCATGCACACCGTGTCAACGTCTCACGTCCCCCTACTCCTCCCCATTCAACGCGCTGCAGGTGGAATGCGACGTCCATCAGCTACTTCTGGAAGAACTGGAACATCCCCGTGCACAAGTGGGCGGTGCGACACGTCTACCGCCCGCTCACGTCGCAGGGGTACACGCGCACGCAGGCCATGGTGGTTGTGTTCATGTTCTCGGCAGTGATGCACGAGGTGCTGGTCAGCGTTCCCCTCGGCCTCTTCCGCATGTGGTCGTTCCTGGCCATGCTCGCACAGGTCCCGCTCGCCGCCCTCACAGACAAGTATGTGTGGTTTTGTGTGTGTGTGTGTGTGTGTGTGTGTGTGTGTGTGTGTGTGTGTGTGTGTGTGTGTGTGTGTGTGTGTGTGTGGTTATGTTTGTGGTCATTTCCACCTTCGTCGTCACCCACACGCCTATTCCGCACAACCAACTCATTCCCCATCCCCCCCCCCTCCAACACCACTTGACAGGTTCCTCGTGGGCACGCCGTACGGCAACGTGGTGGTGTGGTCGTCGGTCTTCTTCGGCCAGCCCATGGCCATCATGCTCTATGTGCAGGCGTATCTCCTGCGCCAGCGCGAACAGCAGCTCGAGGCGGCGGCGGCAGCAGTTGGGGACGGGTTGTAGTGGGATGGATCGATGGTGGCGGTGGTGGGGAAGAGTAGTGCGTGCGTGTGTGTGTGTGTGTGTGTGTGTGTGTGTGTGTGTGTGGATGGATGATAGTGCATATTGAGAATGAAGAGCTGATTGAGCGCCATCACGCAACTGACAAGCGGTGGCGAGAGTTTGTTACACAACACGGCAAGTCACTGCTGACACAATTGTGATTGATTGATTGATTTGACATGACTGTTTGATTGGTTCCGTGCGCATGTGTTCATCCCACGTTTGCGTGCGGCACAATAAAGACCCCCTCTCAATACACAAACGCATCACACAGCGTGGGCAAGACTGCGCTGTTCGCGTGCTGGTAAGGTCTGTTAATCCACAATCGCTCGCACTCAACGAACACATGAGCAGATGAACACATAAACAGATGGAAAGATGAAAGGAGAGCAACAAGGAAGGACAGAACCCAGATGGAGAAGGAAAGCATTGCGTCTGCTGACGAGAGGTAACGAAAAAGGGAGGATGGAAAATGAAAGACAAAGAAGGAAGCACGCGACAAGGCAAGAAGATGTGGTGGGGCGAAAGACCAAACGCACAGCATTAATTGTGGCGTGCTGTTTTGAAGATCGCTACTTATCAACCGAACAACAATCACAAACACACGCGCTATCTGACACACGCGCATACAATGTACACACACGCGCGCGCGCGTACACGCTGCCAAGCGCGTTGGGTGTTGTTTTCTGTCGGTACACAAAGAGCATGCTATGCACAGCGCAAGCGTGCTGGTCTAGACTGCGTTTGATGCGTCCTCTTCAACGACTGCACGCTTGCAGAGCGGGCACGTGTTGTGCTGCATCAGCCACGGGTCCACGCACGCCTGGTGGAACAGGTGGTGGCAGTCAAGCTCCCGCACCATCTCCCCTGTCAGTGGTGGGCGTTGTTTGCGTGCGGACGCATGTGAATGTGTGAATGTGTGTGTGTGTGTGTGTGTGTGTGTGTGTGTGTGTGTGTGTGTGTGTGTGTGTGTGTGTGTGTGTGTGTGTGTGTGTGTGTGAGCGCGCGTGTGAACATGTTCGTGTGTGAGCACGTTTGTGCGTGATGCCAAAGAGCACAGCTCAGCCACAGCTGCACACCATAGACGAAATGGCGGGTGCATTGCCGCACAGCGAGCACAGTGATCAAGCAATGACAGCCACGCACCATCGCTGTAGTTTTGAAGGCAAACAACGCACTGGTCGTGGCTCGAGTCACCTAAATGTTGGCAAGGCAGGGCACAACCACGCGAGTGACACAGCGTCAGGGCAGATGTGGTGGCGTTGAGGAGAGCCGACCGTCAGATGGCGCGAAACACACAACTACACACACACACACACACACACACACACACACACACACACACACACACACACACACACACACACACACAGACATACAGACACACAGAGAGCACCACAACGCACCCTCTTCTGTCTTGTCCTGTGCGGCGTCGTATTGGCGGGTGGGGAGGTGGTCGAGCGCTGTCTGCACGCGCTGGGACATCTCCTCCTGCCGCTGCTGGGCGTGACGATGCATGCAGCACCGCTTCAGCACCATCGCGCTGAACACCAGCAGCACAGACACCGTCATCGCGCAGACTGCTCGCACGACGAGAGGAGGGGGGGGGAAGGGGTGGGGCGTTGGGGAGATGATGTTATGTGAGTGGCGGGAGCATGGGTGTTCGTGTGTGTGTAGGAGAGAATGTGCGTGGGTGTGCGTGTCTATGTAAGTGTGTGTGTGTGTGTGTGTGTCTGACGTGACAAGAGAAGGGTGTAAGAGAGACGGCCGTTCACATGGAAACGCGTTATGGTCGTCACCGCGACTCACAGAAGAAGATGGCGTTGTTGATGAGGATGGTGGACCAGCGGTAATACGGCGGCACCGGCACGCTTGTCACCTTCACTGTCGTCCATGGCCCAGACGACTCATGGCGCGTCTGGTGGAAAGAGGCAGGGGGACGAGGCAGCAGGGGAAGTGAGCTGGCGTGTTGAACACGAATCAAAGCATGCACGCACACACACACACACACACACACACATGATTTCGACACGCAGACAGAGGGCATAGGACGTACCACGTTCCAGAGGTACATGCCGCTGTCTTGGGTGATGGAGAGCGTGGGCACGGGGTCTTGATCGGACGGATAGCTGCCAGACAGCACCAACAGGGTCTCCCTGCACGACGGTAATTGTGTGTGTGTGTGTGTGTGGTAGAAAAGAAAGAAGGCGTGAGACAAGTGCAGAGCAGAAGAGACAAACAGTTAGACACACACACACACACACACACACACACACACACAGACAGACAAACACACACACACACACACACACACACACACACACACACACACACACACACACACACACACACACACGCATACACACATTCGCAAACACACAATTTGACTCACGTTGATGTCTTTGGCGTCTGTGTACAGAGCGTAGAACGCATCGCGTGTGAGATTGGCGGGCCCCGCGGCCACAGAGATGCTGGCGGTTCCTGGTTCTTGATTGCTCTTGTGGCTCGCCGATACCACGGTGCAGCCACTTGCGATTCCAAGCAGCAGCGCCACCACAACCGCGAGCACCCGTGCCCGCAGCAGCATTGTTGCACGTTCCGATTCACCAACAGCACCAACCAAACGAAAGAAAAAGACGGGAAGAAGAGCGGCGCTTGGAAGGGTTCCTTTGCATGTGATGGCGATGAATGCGTGGAGTGGATGGAGTGTGTATTTGTGTATTTGTTGTGCGTATGCGGTGTGATGGTGGTCAGCGCACCGTCGCACACTCTCCCTTACGAAGAAGAAGCAGAAGAAGAAGAAGGTTCGTGAGACGAACAAGCAAGCAAAGGGTGCTGTGCTGTGCTGTGCTGTGCTGTGTGCTGATGGCAGTTGTTGGTTTTGTTTGTTTGTGTCGCCGATCAAGAAAGGCGATCTCTCTTCATACGCAACAAAATCCAAGCAAGACGCAACAAACGAAACGCCCAGGTTTGATGGCGACTGAATTCAGTGTTGTGGGTCACGAACCAACACATACACGATAAAAGGTATTTATTGCGCGGAGACAAGGCAACTTGCTGCGAGCACGAGAATGTGTGCACGTGTGTGCACGAGTGTGTGTGTGCGCACGAGAGTGTGTGTTGCTTTCTTGTCCATCCAAACATCGTTCTCCCTCCTCACACCTCTCCCTCACACCTCTCCCTCCTCTTCACTCCCCATCACTCCCTATTCTTCCTCATTGCTGCTGGGTGCTGGCGCTGGTGGTGGTGCCTGCGGTGGAAATGGTGGCGTGGTAGTCGAGGCTGGCGTGCACGCCGCCGGGCCAGAACGAGTCGTCGAGGAACGACTTACGCGTGTACACCTGCAGGTCCATTGGGGACGCCCTGGGCGGCTGGCTCTGGAACCAGGCGCTAATGTCGTCATCCAGACCCTTCACAATGGCCAGGCCACCGCGCACGTGGATGAGCTTGTTGCGGAAGTGGCGTCCATCCTCGCCGCGCTCCGTCCACGCGTTGGACACAAGCTTGTCAAACGCAAGCTTCGCGGAGCCTAGGGTGTGACGGGGAGAGAAGGGGAGAGAGGGGAGAGAAGGGGAGGGGGAGGAATGTAAGGGGGGGAATGCTTGTGCGTGTGTGCATATATGTGTGCATACATGTGTGTGCATATGTGTGTGTGCATGGGGGAGTGTGTGTGCATGGTGTGTTTGTTTCGAAACTGACCGAGTGCAGCCATATCGCCTGGACGGGGAAATGCGCGCAGCCACGACTTGACGCTGCGCCGCACATCACCGGGTAGCGGAACCTGGTAATGGGGGAGGGAGGGATGCGTTGAGTGAGGAGTGAAGGGGTGGAGCACAGTTGTACAACGAAGCTAGGATGCCGCAGCAGTTGCTGCAGTGCGCACGACGCACATCGACAAACACATACACGTACACACACATACACACCAACACACATCAACACACATCAACACACATCAACACACGGCTGCGCACCGTTGGTGCTGCGGACGGGGGCGGGGTGTAGAGGACGCGCGGGAGGCGGCCCGGGTCATCAATCTGGATGAGCGTCTTGCCGCGCATCTTGGCAATGTCAACGGGGTCGCGCTGCGCCTTGAACGCCTGCAGCAGTGGTGGTAGTGGTGGCGGTGTGTAGGTGTACGTGGGGTTGTGTTGAGTGATGAGATCATGAAGAAGGAGCTGAATGAATGTGCAGAACCGTGTACCCGTCCCCAACACACACACGCGCGCGCGCATACCTCCATGGCTGCGTGTGCGACGTTGAGCGGGTTTGTGGAGCCGACGACATCGGCCGTCAGGTCCTCGATTCCGGCGAGTTCGCACATCATCTGGATCAACGGGTGCGCCTTCACGCCGTGGCCTGGAGCGGTGGTGGTGGTGGTGGTGGTGGTGGTGGTGTTAGGATGGCCTTGGGATGGCGATAAAGCAATGAACCGAGGTTGGGCAGTTGAGGGGCCACAGGTACAACCGCGTGCCAGTGTTGCAGTGTTGTGCCACGAGCATGAGCGGTACCTGGTTTTGCGGGTCGCATGTACACTTTGGTCTTGAGATACTTGGCCTGCACATCGTGGGCAACTACGCCGCCATCGCACAAACAGGAGGGTGAGTGGTAGATGTAATCAAGATGGCCACGAACAAGCAAATTCTAAACATACACACACGCACACACACACGCGCGCGCGTACACACACACCCACACCCACACACACACACACACCCACACCCACACACACACACACACACACGCACACACCTGACCAACATCACACCAACTCCCACCACAGGTGCGATTGCGCGGCTGCATGCCCAGCACCGTGCCCAGATTGAGTCGCTGCGGAGTGCACACCAGCAGCATCTCGCCAAGCGGGAGACGGAGCACAAGGCGGAGATTGATGAGCTCAACAAGACGTGGAAGAAGAAGCTCCTCGTCACCCAGGTGCGGCGTGCGTTGTGTTGTGTTGTGCGTGTATGTTTGTTTGTCTGTTTGTTTGTTTGCTGGCTTGTTTGTTTGCTTGCTTGAGCCTGAACGCGACTGGCCTGCATACATGCACATTCACCAATCATCCCATCCATCACATCACTGCCACCCCCCTGTCGTGTTGATCAACACGTGAGCAGAAGAGTCTTCAAACGCTCGGAAGCAGCGAGGCGCTCCAGTCCCTCACAGCCCGACAGGCCAAGGTGACCGCCCATGCTGCTGTGGTGTGTGTGTGTGTGTGTGTGTGTGTGTGTGTGTGTGTGTGTGTGTGTGTGTGTGTGTGTGTGTGTGTGTGTGTGTGTGTGCATGTGTAAACGGAGGCAACGCACGACATGGTGGTGGTCCCAGCTCGTGGCAGCGCCGTGTTGCAAGAGCACTTACGTAGACGGCAAACGTGTGGATGACGCCAGGCGTGATTTTCTCACGCGCAGCTGTGCAGTAAGAAACAAGACAAACGTGGGTGAGTTCACAAGAAAGAACACAATTGCACACAGACACGTCTCACAACAAAGCAAGAACACAACACAGTAGCGGCATCAGCAGCATCGGCACATACGGAGTGGAGGGACGGCGGGCGTGTCAAACGCATACTGGCGACGTGTCGTGCCCTGCAGAACAAGAATGAGGTCAAGGCAAGCGCACACATGACAACGGGTGAGGAGGTCGGAAGGAGAGGGACTGGAAGTTACGTTGCATGCGTGCGCGCGTGTGTGTGTATGTCATGGACCTGACAAGCAAACACAGTCTCTGCTTCACAAGTGCTCAAAGTCACACGCACATCGGGGAGGTTCACGGTGACGGGAACAGGTGGAGTTGGTGGTTTCAGGTCTTTCTTGGCATCAGCCAGCATCTTGCGAATCTCCTCTGCCTCGGGACTACCCTCCGTCAAGTTGCCTGTGTGCACCAGCAGTGACACGAGTCAAACCACATCGCCGCGTTTGTGGTTTTCAACATGCAGAGAAAGATAGAGGGGCGAGAGAAACAGACAGAGAGAACACAACACAAACACGTGCACACACACACACACACACACACACACACACACACACACACACACACACACACACACACACACACACACACACACACACACACACACACACACACACACACGCACACACACCTGCTGAAATGGGTTGCTGGAACTCCGCACCCCAGCTTTTTGATTTCGCCCAGCTTCCAGACGGGATATGACTTCATGGCCTGGCGTGGGGGGTAGAAACCACCGCGACCGCGGCTCTGCCTCTGTTGTTGCTGGTGCTGATGTTGTTGCTGCTGCTGCTGTTCGCGGATATCACCTACACCCCAGCAGATATCGCGATCACGGGGAGCACCGCGACAACACCTGGGCAAGCTGGCCCCCCTGGGAGGCCACATAAAGGTGACAACGATTCCGTCAAAGCGACACGTCTGCCTAGGTGATAAGGAGAGACGGGCGGG